GTTCTGGGAATCTTAACATGACACATTTAAGTAAATCACGGAAGATATCTGCAGTGTCCCTGGTTACCCAGCTAGTAGTGTTCAGTGGAGACTTAGAATCAAAGTTCTCCTGACCCAACAAATTGGGCATCTTGTTTTGCCAGAAATAGGGTCAGAATCAGGAAAATGATCAAGGTTATTCTGGGCCTACAGTCATAAACACAAACACCTACAAGGGTCATTCAGGCAAGGTAAATGAGCGGAGGAGGCTGGGGTCAGACCACAGAGAAGGGGGAGGAGCATGGTGAAATGGAGAGGCAATCATTGTGGCAGGCACTGTTGACTGTCCAACCACAGGTCATTTCTGGCTGGCTAACACAGCCCTGATTTTATTCAGGTGATAGTGTTCCCAATTTCAGGGGATAGGTCAGCACTAGTGTAAACCTGTAAACAAATCACAGGTAATTCCATTATCTTTTGCTGACAGCTAGGGGTTGCCATCTGACTTAGCTCCGGCCAATGAGAACAAATGAAAGACTATAGGTTACTTCTAGGGAAAATTTCTCTAGGAATTGCCGCCCCCCCCCCCACCCCCTACTTTTTTTTTGAGACAGGGTCTCACTCTGTCACTGAGGTGCAAGTGTAGTGGCATGATCATGGCTCACTATAACCTTGAGGCTCAAGCAATTCTCCCACCTCAGCCTCCCAAGTAGCTGGGACTACAGGTGCACATCTCAATGCCCAACTAAAAGCGTGTTTGTTTGTTTGTTTTTGTATTTTAGGTAGAGACAAGATTTCACCATGTTGCCCAGGCTGATTTTGAACTCCTGCGCTAAAGCCATACACCCCTACTTCAGCTTCTCAAAAGTGCTGGGATTACAGGCATGAGCCACTGGGCTTGGCCAGGGCACTCCTGCAGCACTACCTTGAATGGCCTCTTTTCCTCCTTACTAATGTGATAGGAGATTAGCCAAAAAACAAAACAAAACAAACCAATAAACAAACAAAAAAACCCAGTACATTGAGAATGGATGCAAATGATTGACAGAAGATACCACTGTTAAGCTCTTAAATGAAAACCAGACAAACCCTCCTCCGGACTTTTTGTTATTATTATTATTTTTATTATTACATTTTAGGTTTTGGGGTACATGTGAAGAACATGCAAGATTGTTGCAAAGACTGTTTGTTGAGCAAGCAATGAATATGCCTGTGGTTTAAACCTCCATTACTTGCAGCAGAATATATTCCTAACTGCTCTGTGTCCCAACAAAAGAAGCAGCTGTTATTTAGGTCTCTCTGACTACTGAATGTGGGAATGCAGGCCCAGAGTTGCCGCATTTTCTAATAAGCTAAAAATCTGGGTATTTTTAACATGTAAAATTACCTGTTTAAAAAATACTGGTAACTAAATCATATTTTTAAAATATTGTACATACCTCACAAAACATACCAACAAGCCAAAGAGCTGTAATTCTTGAGGGCTGTGCATATCAAGTTTGTAAACTCTGCCCTAAATTAATCACCTCATTTGCTGGTTGGTCTTACAGAAACCACACACACACACACAATCAGCAATTATTTTGAGCCTTGCATCCTGCAGATATAATAAGCCAGATTTGCCTTCCTAGACTCAAAAAGAAAAGGAATGGCTTCTCCATACAACTGGGCTTGGACTTAAAAAGAAAGTTGAATTATTCAGTCATAGAGAAGATTGAATCTGTTCAGACATATCAATGGGTCTTTTTTCCAAATTGATTTGTCATTCTTTTGATAGGATCTCAGAAACTGATTACAGAGCTACTTGGAACTCACGGTTCATGCAACTCTCATCAAAACAGGAAGAATAGAAGGCTCTTTATATATCAATAATCAAACCAGAGACCTCCTGCTACTGCCATGTTTATGATGTGGCTTCAAATACTGCCCCTGAGTGGAATAAAAATAGTAGCAATGATAGCTACAGCAAATAATAACAACAATGGTCTCCATCTAATCAAAGCATTGGAATGTATCTTTGTTGTTTTTGTATTGGGAGACTGCCCTCTCCTGCTCCATTTGGTACTGATGAAACTGTAAATCCCAGGGGCTTGCCTACCTTGTACCTGCAGGGGAAAGCATGTGACCCAGGTCTGGCTAATTATCTTTCTGTGTGATTGGTTGGAGAGATGAGCATGTGGAAAGATGTGCATGATCAGAGAGATGGTCACATGAGAAAATCAGAATCTCTCTTATGAGCATCAATATATAAACAGACAGGCAACGTCTCTCGCCTCCTCCATTATCTTAAACTATGAAGAAGAGTGTTGTGCAATATCAGACACCATGTAACCATTGCATGCATAGAACTTGTCTTAAAAAAAAGAAAAGTCAAGTGATTTGCATATAGCCTAGAGTTGGGGACAGAGCCAAAGCCCAGATGACAGAACTTAAACTCCTGGATCTAACTATGTCTGAAAAAAGCTTTTCCCGTAGATGTTTCAATTAAGTAAGCCAATGATTTACTGGAGAAATACTCCTAAGGAATGATAACAAAAGGTTATGATTACACAACTGAATGTAAACCATAATTGATGGCACAGAATGGTAGAAAGGCCATTTTAATCTACATGCCTACTAGAAAATAAGGAAAGGACAAGGAGTGTTCTTAGGAACAAAAACCAAAATAAATAAGTAATGCATAGAAATGATACATGATAATTAAGGAAACCCAAAAACCTCTGCTTCATGTTCTTAACAAGTGACCCTATCTTGAATTGTCTTCTTTTTACTCTTCTTCCCCTCAATACCTTTAAGTAAGCTGTGTATTTTGCAGACACATGGGTATGACCTCCAGTGGGTAAGTTCCATGAACAGGCATCTTACAAACCAGGAAAACCCTGACTCTTTCTTAAGTCTTGTTCCTTGTTCATTGTCAACAAATTATATTATTTCACTGGCAAGGAGAAACAAACATTTTACCTATTCTGAACGCAGGCTTTAGGATCAGGTAGATTTTGTTTGGCTCTGTACGTAAGTAGCTATACACATAACTAGCTATGATACTCAGATAAGTTACTTAAAATTCCATGAGCCTCAGTTTTCTCAGGAGTAATACATGCTCTGGTGAGCATTCCGCAAGATACTGTGTGAAAAATGTGCAGCACAATGCCGCATGTATTGTATAAGCTCAGTCAAGAGGTGCTCAGCATTTAGTCCTTTTCCTCCATTATCTCCTTCTTGTTCTCAGGTTATTTCTTAATCTCTTGGTTTGTTTTCTTGTTATTTCTTCCTTTATCAAAGTTTTCTCTGACCTAGTTTATTTGTGTTACACACACACACACACACACATACGCGCGCGCGCGTGCACACACACACACACACACACACGAGACAGAACCTCACCCTGCCACCTGAGCTGGAGTGCAGTGGCATGATCTCGGCTCACTGCAGCCTCTGCCTCCTGTGTTCAAGTGATTCTCCTGCCTCAGCCTCCATAGTAGGTTGGATTACAGGTGCCTGCCACCACGGCCCAGATAATTTTTTTCGTATTTTTAGTAGAGATGGGGTTTTGTCATGTTGGCCAGGCTGTTCTTGACCTCTTGACTTCAAAGGATCTGCCCTCTTCAGACTTCCAAAGTGCTGGGATTACAGGCATGAGCTACCATGCCTGTCTTCCCATAATGTATTATAGCATGACGGAGAACATGTGCTTGATGGAGTGGTGTTCATGAAGTTCCCTTCCAAGACTTATGCCTTGAGCTCCCAAATTGTATCTCCAACTGCTTCTTTAATGTTTACACTTAGATGTCCACTATGCACATCAAATATAATACAAAAAATAGAACTCTTGATTTTCTCCACATTCTTAAGCCCATTATTTCCTTGGTCTTCCCCATGTGAGAAAATGGCACCACTATCTACCCTGTGCCCAATGTATTTTCTCTTCTATTCATTTCCCATAACCATCCAAGTCATCAGCACTTTCCTAAATATATTACATACCCCGTATTTTTTTCTTACTGCCAATGCCATTATCCTAGTTCAAGCCATCATCCCTTCTTGCTTGGGATGCTAAAGTCTCAAATAGTCTATTATTGAGTTCAGAACTGGCCAAAACTGGTTATCATGAGTTGTTTCTGATACACACAGAATTGATCTCTAACATCATGACTGTTTTTTTTTTTTTTAATGCACACTTTCAAGATTATATTCAATCAAGGAAAATTTGCTGCAAGCTAGAAAAGTTAAAGCATTATGTCATGAATTTTCTTAATGCAGAAAAATTCTTGAGAATCAGAAATCTGTGTATCATACTGGAAAAGAATGGGCTGACATCAGATGGCATGAGGTCACATATTATTCCAACTTTAGCCATTCTTTCTAATGTTGTTTTCCTACTCCTGCAACACCAGGAGGGAGACCAGGCTTCTTAAGCTAATGAGAAGTTCAGGGGAACATGCTGAATTAATTAGACTCTTGTGAAGTTCAATCAATCACTGCTGAAAGCCTTGAAATGAATGGCAGCAATCAATCTCAGGTTTCTACTGCTCGAACAAAAGAAAAGCATCTAGGCTACTGGGTTACTAGAAATAGAATTTTGATGGCAATAATTCTACCCTTAGGAACAATAATATTCAAAAGTAATTTCTATTATATAACCTTTGAATAACTACTAATGCTTATTCATTATTTACTATGCGTTAGGAATTATCAAATGCTTGACATGGATTATATGAAAGTGTTCATCAAAATTAATCAGATTAATAATTGCTGGTGATAATGATAACTAATAATGTATCATGTAATCCCACAACAATCCTACAGAGCATTCCGATCCCATTTTACAGACTAGGAAACTGAGAGTGAGACAGGCTGAGTAACTTGCCCAAATCCAAACTACTAGCAAATAAATGGCAGAGTCAAAAATAGCTACAGGTCTCTCATATTCTAAATACCACAAGGTTTGTTGTTTGTTTGTTTTTGTTTTTGTTTTGTTTTGTTTTGTTTTTTGAGACAGAGTCTTGCTCTGTCGCCAGGCACCAGGCTGGAGTGCAGTGGCACAATCTCAGCTCACTGCAATGTCTGCCTGCTGGGTTTAAGCAATTCTCCTGCTTCAGCCTCCCGAGTAGCTGGGACTACAGGTGCGATCCACCACGCTCAGCTAATTTTTGTATTTTTAGTAGAGACGGGGTTTCACCATGTTGGCCAGGATGGTCTCGATCTCTTGACTTTGTGATCCACCTGCCTCGGCCTCCCAAAGTGCTGGGATTACAGGTGTGAGCCACCGCACCTGGCCAATACCACAAGTTTTTGCTTTATTGGGTGCCTACTATGTACTGGCACTTAGAATACATTATTTTTGACTTTCACAAAAGTGCGTGAAAAGTAAAAATTATGAATATTTTAAAAAGGAGGAAATTGAGTCTGCAAGAGGTTAAGTGGCCTGAAGCCAGACAAAACATAGCTCAGCTGTGATTTAAACCTGAAGCAGACTGATTCCATAGCACTTATTTTTTAGTAGGTTATATATCTATATATACACAGTAGCTTTATCTTCTCAGTAGATATATATATGTATACACATGCATGTATGTGTATGAGTAGTTTGTAAAAACAATTCAGCTGAATTTATTAAAAATAACCCTACTTTCTTTGACTGCTGGACACCATATGATTTGTATCATCCTCCCAAGAGTACAATGTCCATGCTAATTAATATGGAGCTCAGGAGTGAAAACCAGAATCCTGAGCTCCATATTTGTTCTGAATAAAAGTGTTGCTGACCTGCTTCCTGTTCCCCAGTGAACTTCCAAACTCTTCACTCTCCCAGTGAAAACTTCCTCCTCTTCTCACCTCTGCTCTGGGAACCAATGCCAGCAATGTGTGTGGAATGACTCACTGAAACGTTGTAAAAATGAACAGATCTTTCTGAGGCTGTCAGCCAATACTGAGAAATTTGGTACAGACCATCAACCAAATGGAGCTTGATTCATCTTTATTAGAATGATGGGAATGAGTCAACTCTCAGGAGCCACAAACCTTTTATTTCAATTAGTCCAAATAACGTAAAGCAGATGCTTTTAAACCACTAAAATTCATCAAGCTGCCCACGTCTTCCCATAAATACTCTACCCCACCCCTCTCTGCCTTTTCACAGACACAGGAAATTGCTAAGGTCCAAGGATAGCCTTTGACTGGGATCATCGTCCTACTAATAGGTGAACTGACACCTATAGTTGCCAATATTCTCACTTTGTTAGCCACAATCTTTTTCATAAGACTACCCCAGGTGTTGATCTCAGAAAATGAAAATTAGAAATCACCTCTAGAATGGAAAAGAATGTGATTTGTAGTAATTCTTACAACCTGGAAAAATACATGCAATTCCAAAAATTTATTATTCATTACATGAAGAATTTTGCTCCATTTTATTAATTATATTGTAGAGGTTAAGAACACAAATGCCAAATGCTAAAATCAGACAGACTTGGGTTCAAGTTCTGGGTTTACTATTTATTAGCTGTGTGGACACAGAGTTTTCTTCAAAACATCTAATGTCATTTCTCTCACTTGTAAAATAGGACTAATATTAGTTCTTAGTTCATAGGACTTTTTAAGATTAAATGAGATACATAGCTTGTTAAGTGCTTAGAACAACATCTGCCAAACAATGAGTGCTCAAGAAATGTTATATATTATCTTTGCGATCATCCAGGTATATGACAATAATCTCTTTGTTATAAACAAGAGAATCCAGCATAAACAGAATTAAGCAAAAAATAAAAATAATAAAATAGAATTTGGTGACACAGATTTACAGGTCTAGAAAATTATCAGGTTCAATGACAGCTGGACTCAGAAACTCAACCCATATCATCAAAAATCGGAGTACTCATTAGCAGCTCACATTTTATCCTTAGAAAGAGAATCGTCATTTTATAACAGTTTCAATGAAATCCAGAGGCCTACCACATCCTGGGCTAAAAGCCTTACCTAACCATTCTCTATTAATTGTTGTGGCTCTTACTGACCAGGCCTGGGTAATCTCACAACCCACAGACAGTGGAATAGAGCAAACTCCACTTGAATTCTATGGTCTGAGAGTAGGGAAGAAATGTATCCCCAAAATAAAATTAAGACGCCGCTACCAGAAGAAGGAGAAGTGGGGGACAGAAACGCAAAGTTAGCAGATGTTCACTCAAGTCCCCAGGAGTCAAAACTGGCTTGAGATGTAAAGTGTAAGACAGATAAATGATTCATCATGTAGAAATCAGAAAACTTTAAAGATGACAGGAAGTGTCTCTTTTTCTAAAAGCCACTCTCTGTTCTGAATTCATTTGTAATATACTGAGTCAAGCAGATCATCTTTAGACCACTTTAAATTATTTTCAAGGCTGCTGCTATAATATAGCTGGCCACATACATATAGGATGGCATTTCACAGTTCATTTAAACTCACTTCTAAATGTATAACGGTCTGAAGAAACAGTTCCCCTGTGGAAAGGTTACAGCCTACATCTCTGTGCACATTCTTTATTTAATTCTCGCCCCTGAAAAGTAGGTATTATTACATGCTGAGTATGTCTTAAGAAGTGCTTGGGACCTTTCAGATTTCAGATTTTTCCAGATTTTGGAATATTTGCATCATACTTACCAGTGGAGCATCTCTAATCTGAAAATCTGAAATTTGAAATGCTCCAATGAGCATGCTCAATCTGTATCACCATTTTACAGATGAGGAAACAGAGGCTTGGCAAATTTAAGTGAATTACTAAAGCCATGGAGGTGTAAATATGTTTCTAATCTAAATCTGTCTGACTCCAAAATTTATACCTTCTCTACAACAGTTGGCCATAATGCTTCTCAGCAAGTGATGAATAGTTTTCTCCTTTTTTTTTTCCTTTTCCCATATTTTAAGTGCTTTGTAAAGAAGGTAGAATGGTCCTGAATGAATCTGAGAGTCTCCACACATGGAATCTTTTATAATAACACCAAGTACAGGTGAAAAAGCAATTTCACAATTGCCGAGGCTCTGCCACTTTTAACAAGCAACCAGCTTCTTAGAATTGGAATATTTCCCTCTCCATCTCAGCTCAAGACTGGGTGCTTTTAAAATACTTGAGGAAAATTCTGCCATTTGAGTCAGGCAAGTATGAGAAAGCAGACATCGTCCATTCACAAAGGGCCTGTCTGACATGTGTGAAGTGGTGTAAAGATACACACACACACATACACACAGTATATCAGATAGCTAGATAGCTAGACTGAAAAATTTGAACTAATAGCAAATATTATAATATTTTCAGCCTACAGAGTTTTCTCTTGAGGCTACAACCAACACAAGAAGTAAGAATGAATAAAAATTCCCATCATGTCCTTATTTTAAAGCAGAAATTAGCTTTGTAAAATGTTTAGTGTCCAGTGCACAGCAGCATGCATACATATAGTACCTGCTCAATAAATAATTGTTCAGTGAGAGAAAAAACAACTTATACAGCTATGCAATTCCTTAGAGTTAGGCAATTTCTTCTAATATTGCTGAAATGTATAAGATGTGTTTAATGTTTAATTTCTTAGTTCCCTCATAAGCAGTTCATGAAACAAAGATTAGAATTAAGTAGCTGGAGAGGCAATTTCAGGAAGCACCAAACGAAAAGAGAGAAGAAGTAAAATATGGCAGGCAGAAAGCTAAAAAATGGTGCTTTTGTCACCACTGTGGGCAACTGGAGTTTGGTGCCCCCAGGAACACTGAGAAGCCATGCAGACCTTAAAGGTTCATCTCTTCCCATCCTTCCTAGCTTTGAGACCTGTTCATAGAGGTGTGGCATTAATTCTCCAGCACTTCCAGTCTGTCCTACTTGTGAGCCAAGCACACTCCTGTGGCCAGAGAAAGCCCTCGGGCAGTTGCGGGTTCCTGAGTTAGGATGCCATCACTTGTACCAGAATGTATGCATGTTTGCTATGGCTTCCAAAATGACCCCAATAGTCCCTATCTCCTGGTATTCGCCCTCTTGTATGACCTTCTCCCGCTGAGTGCGCGTTAAACTGAGTGATCTGCTTCTAAGGAATGGAATACGGCAAAGTGATGGGATGTCACTTCCCGGATTAGGCTATAAGAAGACTGTGTTGCTCACTCTTGATCACTTTCCCAGGCTGGGCAAAGCTAGCGGCTTTGTTATGTGCCACCCTATGGAGAGGCCCATGTGACGTGGCAGAAAACCAAGGCTCTTAGACCAACAGCCTGCAGAGACTGAAGCCTGCCAACCACCATTCAAGTGAGCTTGAACAGGAACGCCATCAGCAACAGGACAGTCTCAAATGACTGAAGCCCAAGTTTAGCTTGGAGGCAGCCTGTGAAGTATCCTGAGCCAGAGGCACCATGCAAAGGCACACTCAGTTTCCTGACCTACAGAAACTATGAGATTATAAATATTTGTTGGCTGAGACTGTTATGTTTGGGGGACACAGCAGTGTATTACTAATATAGCTGCACTATGATGATCAAAACTAAGAGCTTCAGAAGAGGTCTTGGCTTGCCTATACTATCAAGGCACACTGTCTATAGTTTTCGTAAGATTTCTCTTTTTTTGTTTGTTTCATTTTGTGTTTGAGGCAGGGTCTCACTCTACTACTCAAGCTGGAGTTCAGTGGTGCAATCCCAACTCACTGGGCTCAACCTCCCTGGGCTAAGGTGATCTTTTCACCTCAGTCAGCCTCCTGAGTAGCTGGAACTACAGGCATGGGCCACCACGCCTGGCTTATTTTTGTATTTTTTTGTAGAGACAGGTTTTTGCCTTGTTGATCAGGCTAGTCTTGAACTCCTGGGATCAAGCAATCTACCTTCCTCAGCCTCCTAAAGTGCTGGGATTACAGGCATGAGCCACCATGCCCTGCCGATAAGACTTTCAGAGAAGAAATTTAAGCAAGTCAGTGGAATCTTGCTCAAATGTTTGTATTTTTAATTGATTTAATTGGGCCTAACTTACCGTTTAGGACAATGACTTGCATATTGGTTCCAATAACTGGAGTTATAATTGGAACAAAAATATTTGAACTAAAATGTGTTACAGCCAAATGAGAATCAATTAACTTTACACAATTGATTCCTGACTCTTAATGTTTAGTGTGTGCTTGTCAAAGCTATTGAGTAAAACCTTTAGTCCAGCTACTTTTATTCCTGAAATAATTAAAACTAGGAAAACAGTCACTAAATGACATAAAGTCTGGATGTTTACAGTAGTGAAATATAGTTTGAGAAGTTATATGTTTGAGGCCAGAGAGATTTATTTCTTAACAAAGCACAGGGTCACCCCTATTTCAAGCTTGAACATTCTACCTTGTCCTAAAAGGGTATATTTAGCAAGTATTATGGAATGTACCAACTTTGATTGCCTTCTCTTCACTCTGTTACTGAGCGGGGGATTCCCATCTTTAGGTTATGGAGATGGTCAAACATATGTCACTTGACACTGGACAAGTGAGATTGACAGGAGTTTGCTAGTGATATATATACTCACAGCCCGGGGAGTGGGACACCACAGGCCACCCAGAGCCACATGGGCTGCACTTGGGAACAGAGTGAACAATCAGGGGCTGTGGGAGGCAAGCTTTGTCATTTAAAGAGGGAGGGGTGACTCTTAGTTCCTGTGGGGGGGGTGTGGTTAGCTTGTCTGAAGATTTCCATGCACTGCAAGGAAATGAAACCTGCTACTTGGTGATAAGCAGGAACTACATTTGGTCCATTTAACAAGGATTGTTTAGCTAAGGGACTTTACCTGCAAGAGAACAGCGGGGAGAATAACTTGCATTGAAGCCATTTGAGGACTTCCTGATTTTACCAGATGTCAAGAGAGCACATAATGTTAATTTTAGACCTTGCCTTGTAATATCCTTGGGAAATTTCCACTCAAAGGACCCAGAAGTCTCTGTTCATAGTTCCTCTTGAGACTCCAATGTGATAAATAGACCCTATAAGCTGTTATATTTAAGTAAGCCATAATAAAATCTACACACCCTTTACTTGAAGGTAGGTCAAATACCTACAAAAGGATATACAGGTTGCTTTTACAAATTCCCTGCTCAAAGTCCCGCTTGGTTTAGAAAATCCACTTGCTCAGCTTTTATGACTTTATAGAGGAAAGTCAAAGTCACATAGTCATCCCTTGAGGTCGTAAATGATAGTAAAGACTGTGGTTTGAGTGAGTGCAGGCCCAAAATTTCTGCCCTGAAGGAACCAGGAAGGGAGTTGGGATAGCTCCTCTGCATTTACTTGGTCATGTTTGCAGTCACACTGCAGAGTCAAAGTCACCCCTATGTTGCCACTCCCAACAGTGAGCCCACTCCGCCTGCCCTATGCCCAAGACCAACTAGGAGCACGAAGAATGTAGAAAGAATAGCTCTAGACAATTTCTAGATATTGCTGAGCACTGGATTTGATAGGAAATGAAGGTATAGTAAATCCCTTTTGACAAGTCTCTGTCCCTCCTTAATGCTTTTGAGTAAGATAAACAAACTCACGTACAATATTGCTCCAAGAAAGCAGACATCCTTAGTTGGGAAAAAGGACACCTTGATTACATAGTCAAGGAAACGGAAACCCAGAAGGGCAACGTATTGTTCAAAGATCCCACGCCTGATTAATGGATTTAAAAAGGTTCAATTCCCTAGGACACTTGGCAATGTGCTAAGAAGAACAAGATGTCATTTCGAAGTAAATTTAATCTGAATTCTAATCTCAGCTCTCCACCAAGAGCGACACACAGAGCAAGTGATTTGAAGTCTCTGAGCCTCAGTCTCTTTCTCTGTGTGAAAGACTCAACAAAATACTTCTCCTGACATATGACATAGATTTTGGATATATATCCACACTTACGTCTGTATTTTTTACTTTCATTGATGTAAAATTAGAAACAGTAAAATGCCCATGATAAACATAGTTGAGCCATAATTTGATGGCTAGATGTGTGTGACTCCAAATTTATGATGCACGTAGTTTCTCATTTAAGGGCAACCATGCTACAAATAAAACCTTTTGGAATGTTTTAGTACCTATACAATCACACATAGAGATATAACATTAGAAAAACATACTGGCAGTATATTAGGAATTGGAAATTAGTACTTTTTTTTTTTACCAGTAACACTGACACTCTCTTTATAGAATTTTTAAAAATTGAATCCTTTATAGAATTTTTAAAATTCATTCAATAAATAATTGCTACATGTCTACTATGCCTACTATGTGCCAGGCCCTGTTCTAGGTGACAAGAATATAGCATAAACAAACAAACAAAAAGACAACATGCCCTACCCTCACTCACCTTAAATATCAGTGGACTGTGAGAGATGCCATAATAAGTGAGAAAATAAATTCTATTAAAACACAGATGGTGGACAGTAAGTGCTATGATTAAAAAGCAGGGAAAGGAGATAAGCGTTGCTAAAGGGGGGCGTGCAATTTAAAATATAAAGATTTAAGAAGAATTCTCTGAGAAAGTGATATTTTTAAAAAATCCTGAAAGAATAAAGAGATCAAAATGTCCCAGGCACAGGCTACAGTAAGTGCAAAGGCCCTGGACCAGGAGTAAAGATGTGATGTTGTGACCCGGGAAGAACAAGGAGGTCAATGTGTCTGAGGGTCATGAGCAGAAGAGAGTAAGAGAAGAGGCCAGAGATGTGTGGCAGGGGCAGATTGTGAGGCATTTGCAGGCAATGGCGAAGGCATTCGCTCCTACTCCAAATGAGATGGAAAAGTCAGAACAGAGAAGTGGCATGATCTGATTTATGTGTTAAAAGATCATTCTGGTTGCTGGGTTGAGAATAGATGGGAATGCGGGATAGAAGAAGGGAGAACCAGATGGAGACCTACTGCAGAATCCGAGTGAGAGAGAATGTTGGCTTGCCCCACAGTGCTAACAGTGGAGCTAGTGAGAATTATGAAAATATTTTGAAGGTAGAATGAACAAGACATGAGTAGATGGGAGGAGTAAAAGAAAGGGAAGAGTTGAAGGTGACTCCGAGTTCTTGGCTAGAGTGACTAGAAGTGGGGGGCAATACATGTAAGTACTATGTGAGGGGCAGATTTGCATGAGCCAGGTGATATGGTTTGGCTGTGTGCCCACCCAAATCTCATCTTGAATTGTAGCGCCCATAATTCCCATGTGTCGTGGGAGGGATCCAGTGAAAGGTAATTGAATCATGGGAGCAGGCCTTTCCTGTGCTGTTCTTGTGATAGTGAATACGCGTCTCACAAGATCTGAAGGTTTTGTAAAGGGCAGTTCCCCTCCACGAGCTCTCTTGCCTGCTGCCATTTAAGATGTGCCTTTGTTCCGTATTCACCTTCCACCATGATTGCGAGGCCTCCCCAGCCATGTGAAGCTGGGAGTCCATTAAATCGCTTTCCTTTATAACTTATCCAGTCTCAGGTGTATGTTTATTAGCAGTGTGAGAACAAACTAGTACACCAGGGATGGGGAGTTAGGAGTTTTAATACGTATTAAATTTGAGATGCTTATTAGACAACCATGGGTAGGCTTTAAAGAGGCAGTTGTGTACGACTCTGGATTTTAGGTAAGTGGGCCAGACAAGAGATTTAAATGTGAGGAGCAGGGCTTGAGCTCTGGGGCTTCCACTGTTAATGGCAAAATGAGAAGGAACCAGCATTATCAGTCTCACCTGTGTCTTCTTTATGACCTACAAAGATCTTAGACTTTGTATTCTCCCCAAAGTGTGTTCTCTCCTGAACCATTTCTCTGCAGGGTTTAGGAAAGGCCCAGATGGAAAGCCTGGCTTTTGAAGAATTATTCTTGGGCTAGACAGAGGCAAAATAGTGGACACCTATGTTAGTTTTCTGCAGCCCAAATCCAAGCTGCCACTGAGTTAGTGCCGCTTAACTTCAGGCACAATGGAGGGAAAATGACTTGTTTATTTAGGGATGGGGGACGAGAAGAAAGCAGCACTAATCACCCAAGTGCCCATTCTCCCACTCCTGCACTCAGGACTGATGCTAAAGCCCTGGGTTTTTTCCACTAGAGAACTGCTTATAGTGGATGCAGTGATAAAAACTCCTCCTTGAGGATGACTCAGCTTCTCTGGTCTTCTGCTAAACTCCTGTTCAAGAGGGAGTTGAAGGAGGCTCCAGATAGGGAGGATAGAGCACCTGTACCAGAAGGTTCTGTGGTCAGGACTTCCACCTTTAGCTGTTATTTTCCTAGTTCACCTACATAAGAATGGCTCATCTTTCTCCTGCATACATTGTGCATCACATACACAAAGTGCCATTTTAGAGCTGAGAAAAGAAGCCATAAAGCAGTCAGCTAATGCACTCCAGGCTGTTCTGAGCTTGTGCTCTTGACCACTACAGGTTTCTACAACTTTGGCCTTTCTGAGCAAAATCATATTCTTCCTGGTGCCTCCAAGAAAGAAGGTCTTTACATCAGAAACTTAGGGCTCACGCTTGCTCTCGCTCTGTCTCTCTCTCTCTCTCCCTCCCTCCGTAGACCCTTTCAGGGAGGAAAGGTGATAGCTCTCATTCTTTTCTAAAGAGACAAGTTCAAGGGTACAAAGGGCAAAATATACTTTTAGATAAATCGTTTGCCCTTTATAAACCTTCCTTTGATGTATGACAAGAGTTCGGAGCTGCAAGCTTGCTTGCATTTTGAACCCAATCCATGGTTACTATGAATTTGCTTCTTTTCTTAGGAGAGAAAAAACAATGTACTATCCAGATTTGAAAACCCCTATGTTGAGCCTGATATGTATTTCACCATTTTTTCTCAACTCTCCAGTGTATATAATTGCTGTTGGAAAGATACAGATTCTCCCAGGTGAGAGCATCTGTGTTGGAAGCCACAGGAATGCAAGGGCCTGCTAGCTATGACTCCCCACCTTC